GGTATTTTATATAACTTAAAACGGTGGTATAAAAGCCTTGTAGTTCCTGTTACAGTGCTACTCTAAAAGAATGATAATTTAATATAAAGGTGAAATTTAATTATTTTAATACCACGGTCTAAAGGCCGGATGTGTATAATGTATTTAATATTAACTTTGTAAAACATATATTTTCTTCCAATTATTAAGGAGACCGTACACGTATACTCAAGTGACCGTATTGTTCGATTCACAACGGTACTCTTTAGNGCGTACTATAGTATCAACAATGTATACTGCATATTGTACTTAATGAAACAAATTAATCAATGCAAATAAAACTGAGGTAGGAATTTGACTAGACAAAGTTTAAATGTGCAAGTTGTACTGAATGGCATACGTAAATTAACGCAATTTAAATAAAAATTATTACTAAAAAGTACATCGAATCTAGGACAAAGTACAACTGATCTGATCATAACGTAAACAAAACGCGTACTGTATGTTTGTGTTACCTAGAAATTTAATTTTATTAGTCAAACAGGTCCAGATAGCAACACTTGAACTATACAGGATGCAATACGCGTACTGTATGTATGTATAATTTAATTAGTACAATTTATCCAGTTCATGGAGATCCACAGAGCCATAAAAAGTTGCATCAATTTTCTGGACTGGGTCACTGTGTCAACTTTGAAGAGTTGCACTCTCTTAGTTTTACATTACTAACTTACGAATACTTTTAATGTACTTACGATTCATTAATTACAATGCTCTAGTTCATAAGAAGTGATTGAAAAAATGCGGAATTTTTCATAAAAGGGAGTGTTCGCGAAAAATGAAAAATCAACTATATACAAATGTGGCGAAAGATAATCGATGACTATAGGTTATAATATCTGAATGATTTGTTTGAAATTAAATATATTTTTTTACGGTCTAAGTCGTATGTTGCATCTTTCTGAATTTGCATGGACACTACGTTCTTCGGTATTAATCGTTTTTAACACTTTTCTCCTTATAGACGCAACAGATAGAAGTAAGATTAGTAGCGATCAAAAGCGCTTTTTTATCTCATTGAGCCTATACCCCCTTTCATTTTTCGCAAACACTCCCTTTAAAGCATGACTTTGGATCACTGTGAGTTTACTAACATTATCGCTTTGTTATAATTAGAGAAGTGGCGTTAAGAGTAGTAATTTGCACCTAGATGCATCCTAGATGATCCTGCCAATTTAGATCCTAGACTACGAAACAAACCTAGAATTTGCAATACATATTTGCAACGTGGATCTGCAACAAAGATTTCATTTCAAAGGAAAGAATTAAACTGCAACTAATGATCAATTACCATACATTTATATTACAATATACAATTAGATTATGCACACTGCACAGTGGTTCCTAAAAGAATGTGGAATAACTTTAGAACAATGTTTGAGTCAATTTGTTAAATTTTAGAGATTTGCGCATTTTCTTTGTAAAGTCTCTGTGGGTAAACAGACTACTAATTGACGACTGGAAACTCTTAAAACATGATTATCCCAATGTTAAATTAAGTATTATGCCTTAAATATAGAAATCTAATGACTTATTTTATGATTTACAGTTGCAGGGAATCGTGAAGATTTCCATAAAATCCATAAATTCCATAAAATCGTCTCTGAAGTCTCATCCTTTGTGGGTAACCCTGTAGATTGATTTCAATTCATTTTCTTATTCAAACATATTCTGGCAATCTCAGGAGTGCAGGAAGATAGTAGCAGCATATTTTTTTGCTCCGCTCCATCGGAGTAAGAAATATTCACGCAACCTCCCACCGGAGGATATTTTAAAACATGCTTTATAACATTCACGCAACCTTCCATCAGAGGATTTTTTAAACAACTTATCAATAGGACAGCCTTATGGAGCAAAGCTTTAATAATCAAAAGTTTAAATTTTAGAGATTTGCGCATTTTCTTTGTAAAGTCTCTGTGGGTAAACAGACTACTAATTGACGACTGGAAACTCTTAAAACATGATTATCCCAAGGTTAAATTAAGTATTATGCCTTAAATATAGAAATCTAATGACTTATTTTATGATTTACAGTTGCAGGGAATCGTGAAGACAAGGAAACAGACAGTATAAATTCTCATCCTTTGTGGGTAACCCTGTAGATTGATTTCAATTCATTTTCTTATTCTAACATATTCAGGCAATCTCAGTATATTTTTTTATTTAAAGTTACTTTATAATTTCCTTCTCTTTATAATTTGAGGTTTTTGAAAAATAAAAAATTTAGCGGAGTTTCCTGCTTTTAAAATATTGGTAGATTTTTAAAGTAATCGAAACCTTTTAGAAGTATTTTTAAACCTTCCCAGGCCAGGGTCATTATATGAGAGTTACCACAAACAAAATTTAACTTAACAAACAAATCAAAGAAAAACACCCAAACAAGCTAAACATATTATACACGCACCCCTGACCCTTCAGCAAAAGCAAATTCAACGTAAAGTCAGACCGCGTCAACCTTGTTGGACCGGCTAGTCCTATTGAGTGTCTGCTTTATTTACCCAATGTCCGTGCGATACAGTACAAACTGGGACCGGAAAGGTTGACCCGGCTCGGAAATTCAAATGCACTACGGCTGCCCGTGTATAGATTATACAATAAGTTACAATTTTAAAATATAAATCTTCTAAGAACTATAAGAATGTTAGGATTAGACCGGATCCCCTTCCATCTATAATATATAATGTTAAAAATAAAACATACAAAATAATATTATAATAAAGGTAATCAGCCGATAATTTTCATCTGAATATGCGTATATGAGTAATGAGACCTAAACTTACAACAGTTTACATAAAATCTACAATTACAAAAATTACTGAACCTAATTTTTCAAAAAATTACAAAAGACAATTATGTAAAGTGTGCATCCGACCTTCAATTACAATAAGATTTCATAAAACCCACAAAGTCTTTACGTTAAATTTTTAATTCAAGGTCACGTGTAAGCTTTGTAATTGTTGGTCTCATGTACACTTTGTAATTGTTGGTCCCATATAAACTTTGGAATTCTAGGTGTAAATTAAACTTTGTAATTTTTGGTCTCATGTAACTTTTGTAATTGTTGGTCTCATGTTAGTTTTGTAATTGTAGTTACATTTACACTTTGTAATTGTAGGTCTCATGTACACTTTGTAATTCTAGGTCTCATGTACACGCTTTGTAATCGTAGGTCTCATGTAAACTTTGTAATCGTAGGTCTCATGAAAGCTTTGTTCTTGTAAGTCTCATTAAAACTTTGCAAGTGTAGGTCTTATTTAAACTTATTAATTGTCTCATGTACACTTTGTAATTCTAGGTCTCATGTACGCTTTGTAATTGTAGGTCTCATGTGCACTTTGTAATTGTTGGACTCATGCAAGCTTTGTAATTGTAGGTCTCATGTACACTTTGTAATTGTTGGACTCATGTAAGCTTTGTAATTCTAGGTCTCATGTACACTTTGTAACTGTAGGTTTCATGTACACTTTGTAATTGTAGGTCTCATGTACACTTTGTAATTGTTGGTTTCATGTACACTTTGTAATTGTATGTCTTAAGTAGACTTTTAAGTGTAGGTATAATGTACATGAAGTTCTTATTTACACTTTTTGTGCTGGTTCATAAAAAGAAATATAAAAAAAAGCTTAATCTGCTTTTGATATTATTTGTCTGTTGATGGCTCAATTAAATTACATAAAAAAAGCTTTAAGACAAAAATTGAATTTTAAACATGAAGTTCAGTTTCCTTTAAATATATATTCTCAAGCATAAAAACAATAATATTCTAAAAATCATGATTTTTAGAAACATTTATGTTTAGTGTAGTTATCCGAGCTGACCGGACGTGTCTTTGTGAGCTCCCGGATTAAACTGACCGACAACCCAACACCGGGTTAACTTATTCACATGCTCCATATTATGTGAAAACACAAACACTCAGATAACTTGTTTAGTGCATTTATTTCCAGTAAAAAATATTTCTACTAGACTCAAAATGACTGACACAAAAATAGACATGGGTCTTTACTTTGTAATCGTAGGTCTCATGTAAACTTTGTAATCGTAGGTCTCATGTAAACTTTGTAATCGTAGGTCTCATGCAAACTTTGTAATCGTAGGTCTCATGAAAGATTTTTACTTGTAGGTCTCATGTAAACTTTGTAAGTGTAGGTCTCATGTACATTTTGTAATTGTATGTCTTTAAGTAAACTTTGTAAGTGTAGGTCTAATGTACATGTAGTTCTTATTTACACTTTTTGTGCTGGTTCATAAAAAGAAATATTAAAAAAAATCTTAATCTGCTTTTCATATTATTTGTCTGCATATGATGGCTCAATTAAATTTCATAAAAAAAACTTTAAGACAAAATTTAAATTTTAAACATGAAGTTTAGATTGCTTTAAATATATATATTCTCAAGCATAACTACAATGATATTCTAAAAATCATGATTTTAGAAACATTTGTTTTTATTATATGTACAAGGTTGCGTGATTTTACTATGTCGAGAACAAAACAGTGTTAAACAGCTCAAGGTTTGTAAAAATATCTTCTTACATACAAATTTTATGATAAATAGTTTAATGATCATCACATTTTTATGTATAAGAATAACACAAATATTTGTTTTCTCTTAGAAATACTTATTTTTGTTCTTTTTGAAAATTAAGACGACATTTTGAATTATCATTTATATCCCGGGATGTTGTATTCGAATAAAGGTAGGAAGAATCAAAAAGATTATCAAGTACAATATGTGGCAATAGAAAAATGAACCAATTATACACCACGTCACAAGTGTCAACTATAACAAGAAAAACTAAATTTTCTCACATTAGTGGACATATGTTTTCCAAGATAAAATAAAAAGTGAAAACAGAAAAAAAGAACACATCAAATAACAAATTGAGCTTATTTTACTGTAAGATAAGCACTTTTATCCTAAAATTATCCCTATTATTAATAATTTTGTCGGACACAAGAATTGAGTTGGCACTTGTGACGTAAGAATACAGCTGTACTGGGAGTGAACAAATTCTACGTTGCCATCTATTGTACAAAATCTATTTGGGAAGTATAGAGTCAACACAAATATTATTCATTTTATCTGTGAAATACAGTGATACCGATAAAACTGTGGCAAAGCACATTTATTTCATATTAGCTTTGTATTCCAATATATTCTGACAACCACTGTACCTTTTATCTTTTAATCAAGTTTATTGTTTAAAACTTTTGCGTGACTGTGGAACTGTGGAATAGAAAGACAATTATTAGACTTCAGCAAACATTTATATGATTTTAAAATTGGCCTGGACATGACACACAGAAATTGTGTAGTTTACACAGACCCTTTAATTTTACAAGTGCTAATGTTGAAACTATTTGCTTAACAACGGCATCAAGTACACATACAATTGCTTAATGTCTCTCATTACCACAGTATCATGGGCCCCACTGTCCATAACATAACATCGTTTTAAGAAAAAAGAGTGAGAAAAAAAATTTAATGAAATGCATAATTTGGAGTATTTCCTCCCAATCCACACCAGCTGGAAACAAACTTTAGCACATCCTATAAGAAAAACAAAATTAAATTATTAAAAAAAAAATAATGATTTTGTCTTCGTCATAATTTTAACTTTATTCATAAGCAATATAAAGCTGAATAAAAATTGTGTTTCTTAAAAAAAATAAGTTGGAAAGAAAGCTTAGGATTTTGTCATTAGTTATAGTTAACATTAGTTAGCTGGGAATTTTTATGTTGGATACTTATAGTCCCGATCATTTGATCTTAATATCCAGTGTGGGCACTTTTAATTTTAGGATCTATATCTTATACCTATATATATCTACATACAACTATACCTTTCCATATCTACATTTCAGTTATTTCTCCTCTAATCAAAGCTCCCTTCAACCCCTGATGGGCACTATTACCATGCGGAATATTAAATAAAGAATAAACTAATCTGCAGGCTTAAAAAGACCCAGATCAAGTATTGATCTTGACATACACAAAACAAGAGTTCCCATAGCTCTGAACATCTTTTAGGTAACACATAAACATTCCAAAATCAATAATTTTTAACCAAAGATAACTTCCATTCCGTTTAATACTGGTACGACTGTATCGAAACATATGTAAGGCATATTGATTATGAGAATTGATATAATTATAAGGTAACCTGAATATTAGCATCGGACACCATTTTGGCCGCCATGACTAATTTGTTCCAATCCTCTTTGTTTGCCAGCATACCACGGGCAAATTCAATCCTGAAATATCAAACAAATACAGTATCATTAAACATTTTAAGAAACAAATATGATGACGCCCTCGCTCAAGATGTCAATTTACAAATCAGCTTGAATTATAAAGATTGGTGAAAAATTGCTAATCTTCTAAAGTAAGTTTCATGAGAAAAAGCATCAATAATTTGGAAATGTTTGTCTTACCTAGATCCAAGAACCGGATATCCTGTAACAATACATGGTTTGGAGACAGCTCCTGATCCGGAAGCTACCAGGGAAGCTTCATAGGTCATTCTAAAAATTAATTGCTTTTAGATAATAAGCTTACATTCTGTATTCACCACAATTTTAGTACATTTTCTGTAATTTGATTTATATTTTTTTTTACCTGGAATCAATTGGTAGAGTTTGTTCAACCTTTTGATCCATTGAGATTGCTAGAACCCATTCTTTAACCTCTTCATGCTCTCGATCGCTGGAAATTTGAAAAGATTATTAGAAAATGTAAATACCACATCTGGGTTGGATATTTTTACCTGAGACTTGGAGAATCTGGTAGTGGGATCTCAAAGGGAATATCTGTTCCAACAAAATCTGTATTGTCCAAAAGATCTAAAGATCTTTCTTCAATTGCTTCGTAAAGATCAAGGTATCTGTTGAGAAATACAAACGCCATATTCTCCCAACCAATACTTTTACAGGCATTCCCTGCATCATAGAATGCCTTGTCTGCTGGTATCACATCACTATGCCGAAGTAAAGAAATGGCAACTTTAGTGGATATTTCCTCCAGCTGCTTGTGCTGTACTGTTGCTGATCTCATAGCATAATAATGGGAAATAAGAAGAAGTACGTTAAACTCTTCCAGTGCCTGACCTCCTGAGTTTGTACTTGACAAATTCTCCACCAAGCCAAAGTACATGTCCCTGAGTGATGCCCAAATCTGATATGAATTTCCAGTACTCATATTTTCAGATGAGAAGAGATCAATTCCAATTCGCTTGTAGATATTGAAATTAGCTGGATATGGTGGAGTTCCATATTGCTTGTAAAGATCCAAAGCATTTTCAGGTTGCCTATCTTTGATCATTTGTGTTGCATACATTGCAACATACTTATGCAAGACTTCAGGTCCATGATTTGATGCTGTGTTAATTGCTTTGTTCCAGTTTCCTTGCTCCACATACATGTCAAGAGCACTTATAATATCAACATTTGCAAGTTGCTCAGCTTTTCCTTCATTTTTCAAAAAATATTTGTATTTCTCATCAACATATCCTTCCAATCTAGGTTCCAACTCCTTTGCTACCTTTTTAGCTTTTGCCCATTCTTCGCCTGAAATAAAAGCATCTATTGCTTCACGGACCATTTCTACCCCAAGGTAAAGTTGGGCTGCTGCACTAAACTTTCCAATTTCAACCAGTCTGGGGCCTACAACAGTTGCAACTTCTTCAGCTTTGTCTGGCTCTAAGAACTTAATTGCCAACTCAGCAGCTTTAGTCCAGGCAGCAGATAGTACATTTACATCTTTAACATTTGAAGAATCAATTTTTAAGTAGCATTCAAGAGCCCTTTGATATTCCCCACTCTCCTCCCACTTTCTTCCTTGACCTAAGAGCCCGTCAGCTCCCTGGGATCCAGAAGTCATGTTAGATCTCTCATACTCATCTTGAAGAGCTCTTAGTTTGTTAGGAAGATACTCCTTACAGACTCTTAATGCTTCAGGCCACAAGCCATTGTCTTTATACTGTTTAACGGCAAGTTCTGGACGTTGTGCTCTAAGCAATAAAGATTCAAACTTATGATAATCTTTTCCTTCAAATGCATTCTTTGCTTGTCCAACAAGAACATCAGATACACTGTCAGGATCATGTTCCTCAGCCACTCTTTGAGCAGAATCCCAATCCTGGTTGTGAACAAACATGAGCACTGCCTCCTTTGGTTTCTTTGCTTTGATAAACTGATCTTCAGCCTCCTTAAACTTTCCTTCATCCTCCAGAGCCATAGCATATTTATAGTGAATATCCTCAATTTTCTCTTTCATAGCTATTTTTGCTAACTCAAAAGCAAACTCAAACTGATAACTTTCACAAGCATAGTCTATTCCCTGTTCTAGTATACCAAACTTTGTCAGAAGCTTTACTGCAGATTCTCCTCCCAAAGTTTTACCCCACAGGAATGCAACTTGCTTTGAAGCATGTGGACCTCCATGCTTTTGAGCAACCCTGTATGCATCCTCCCAAAGATCCACTGCCCGATACATATGCACAGCAGACTTCCAATCTCCTGCTTCAACAAAGTGAGATTCAGCACTTTTATGATTACCTTCACCCTCTAGTTCTTGTGCAAGGTGGGTATGTGTTGACTGTACAAGATCAGGATGGTATGTTTGCACCAATCTCATCATGTTATCATACTGTCTTTGCTTCTTATACATTGATATTGCAAGGTCAGGTTCATGTACGCTGATGTACAGTTTTTCTGCCTCCTTAAAACGCCCTTGTTGTTCAAGTTCTTGTGCTTGCCCCACATACATTGTTGAAACCTCATTTGAATCCAGATGCTGTGATGCAAGCTGATGAGCTTGTTCCCATTTCCCAGCACTATTGTACATTTCAATCGCATGCTTTTTAAAGTTTCCAGATAAAAAGAATTTTTCAGCCATTTTATACTCTCTCAAGCTTGCATAATGTTGCCCAAGTTTGAAAAAGTACTTGTTTAACTCTCCACTATCATCATTTACAACTTGGATAATTTGAACTGCCTTCTTCCATTGTCTGGCATTTATGGCAGCATCCAGTGCCTTAATAGTCTTTCCTGATTCTATGTAATGATTAATGGCAGCATCTAGTTGCTTATTCCTGACCAAAAGATCTCCCCATTCTTCCTCTAGACTAACAACTTCTGTAGGGAAATAATGCCGAGCTAACTCTACTGCTTTGGCGAATCCTTCGCCTTTCCTGTAGCATTCAAGAGCATTTTCTTGCTGTCCAGTCTTCTCATACAACTCGCCAGCTTGCTCAAAAAATTCTCCTTTGAGAAGAGCAGCTGTTACTCTTGAAACTAGATCTGAATCATTCAGAAGCCTTTCTTGACTTTGAATCAGTCTTGAAGCCCTGGTTGGCATGCCAGCCTTTAGATAAAGACTTAAAGCCTCCAAAATTTCTCCTTCATTTTCTTTCATTTGACCAGCCTTCTCTTCTTGGTTTGTATCCATTAGCCAACGGGTATAGTTTTCTTTAAGTTCTTCCAAATCTGGATGAGCTTTAGCTTCTGCCAAAGAAAGAGCTTCATCCCACATGTGCAGGTCACGGTACATAGCAATTGCAGTCTCAATCTGATTTTGTTCTAAGTATATTCCCTCTGCTGCTTTAAATTGCTTGTCCAGTATGAAAAGTCTTGCCCAAACCTCTGGTGTGTCCATAGCATCTCCTCCATACATTGTTTCAGCAGCAGTTTCTCCAATGTTAAGAGTTTCTCGGAGATATTTAGCTTTAGACACATCTCCTAGGGCAGAATAACATCTTTCAGCTATCTGCAGCTGCTTGCTCTCAAGAGACAATTTAGCCAGCGTTCTCCACATTGCCTCAGTTTCAGCAGTCATCTCAAGGGATTCCAAAAATGTGATAGCTCTGTTAAAATCAGCATCATCTATAGCAGTTCCAAACTCAATAAGACCTTCATCAAGTTCATAACTGAATTGGTGGGTTCCCTCTTGAACAACAACTTCAGTTTTTCCATCCTCCCGGACTACATCAACAATGTCTCCTTTGATAGGTAGCATAGTAACTCTCTCAGGTGCATCTATGTTATACCAAACACACATGTTGTCCCGGGACTGTGCTACAATCACATCAGAATTTGGAATCCACTGAACAAACGTACAGTAGTTTAGAATTGAAATCTTCTGCATGGTTTCAACATCCATGAGATTGAGTCTTGATCGTTTATCTCTGAAAAGAATCTTTTTTCCTGTTTCATTCAATTCAATCCAATCTATCTTTGAATCATGAGTTATTTGACCAAGACTATATCCAAAGACTAAATCTTCAAGTGAGATAGTTTTTAGGTCTAACAGATATGCAAGTCTTTTAGTCTCCTCTACATTTCTCTGTTTCCTTTCATTTATCCTCACACTTATAAGGTGGGGATTCATAAATTCTGTCCTCACAGAGCCTAAAATTTCATTCTTACCATATTCAACCAGACTCAGCTCTCCGGCATTGAATATCATGCAAACATTATCATTCTCAAAATAGTATTTCTCATTGCCACCAGAGTTAGCCCATGGGATTTCACTTAAAAGATTTTTTTGCAGGTCTCCAAGTAGCATGGTTTCAGGTGTGTGTGCAATTAGATAGTTTTCTCCTCCCATTATCTTTACATCCTCAATCTCATATCCGTATAAGGATTTCAGGATTACTCCCTTGGCTCCAGGAGTCAAAGCTTTTACTAGAACCTGACTTGGACCTACATAGGTCAGCTCAAACTTGTTTTTCCACACAGATCTTTTTAGGACCGACTCAAATAGTTCAACCCCACCGCACAGAGATCCAACAGCTATCCTTGATCCATCCTTCTTCCAAGCAAGCGCAGTAATGCTATACAAATACTTAAACTCCTTTGAGGCATTTTCTTCCCACAAGTTTTTTCTCGGGCTCCAGCTGAAAATTCTCAATCTGAAATATTTATGAAATGTTCAATTTTATAATCAATGAATTTTATAAATGGATATAGGGCTTACCTATCATAGCTTCCGACACACAGTGCTTGACCACTAGGGCTGCAACACATGGTTGTAAACTCCTTCTCGTTAATGTCTCTATTCAAATTGGTAAATTTGTAAAAAACAAAATATTCAATGTAAAGTACATTTTTTCATTTAGAAATGTTGTACACTTAGTTTTTCTAAAGGAATTGAGTCTTTGTCACAAACTCTGATTTTCTAATTCCTATATCTTTGTAATCCAATGTTGTAGACATTTGACATTTCAAACTATGACTTCTGTTAGATTAAATAATATAAGTTTGAAATATCAAAGGTTTATGATATAGGGTTCAAAAGATTTAGGGATTAGAAAATCAGAATTTGTTGCAAGGACTCAATTCCTTTGTTTCTGATATATAAAAACAACCCAATCCACAGAACATTGACATTCCATAAAGAAACACAATTTTGAGCTCCCCACAATTAAGCAAACAAATAAAAAACAGCAATATGGATAAATCTAAAAATTTCATTATAAAAACCTGAAATAATCAAACTGCTGAGCCAGCATTCCATCTGCCGTGTAGAAAACTACTTTTTTATCCGGGCCTGCTACACAGATATGCTGAGATGTCCAGGCCATGGCGTACGGAGATATTGAGTGAACAACAAGCTTGCCTTGCTTCTTAGCCATTGGATCTTCCGCTACATACCATCTATTATCATCAATATGGTTAAATAAAATAGGGTATGTTAAAAACACAAAAATATTCAAATTATTTATTATTTTGTCATTTTAAGGAACTGACCACCTCTAAATTTCAAGTCCTATAATCTCGGCAATCTGATGCCTAGAAGTCTATGACGTTAGGTTGCAAAAATGTAGGAATTAGACAATTATAGTTTAAGGCAAGAGTTTCGCTTGTTTATTGCACAACAAAACAAGAACTGGTTCTGTACACTAACTGTCGTCTAATTCCTATTTACTGAACTAAACTAAACAAAAAATAATCATGAAAATATCCACAGTAGCTGCATGTTTAATTTACCGTTTCCAGTCATTTTTGGACAGGCTTAAATTTCAAAGGAATTAAGTCTTTGCCACAAATCCCAATTTTCTAATACCTATTTCTAAAACCAATTAATGATGTAAGCCTTTGATATTTCAAACTTATATTGTTTGATGTAACAGAAGTCATAGTTTGAAATATCTAAGGTCTATATCATTGGGTTGTTAAGATATAGGATTTAAAATTCAAAGTTTGTGGCAAAAACTAAATTCCTTTTAAAAATTTTACCAATTCTTTACAAAGTCTTAAAATATGTAAAAGGCTGGTGTATTATATTGAAACATAAAGGAATAGAGGAAAAGATATTTAAACGACAACAAAAATTAAAAATTGATTCAATAAATTAATTAGATTTGCTTTTTAGATCCGGAGATAAAATAGATGGAAAATGTAATTCACCAATTTTTTCCTGATTGAAAAAAGGAAAAGCCCTATCCCTGATAATTGTTGGTCAAAGGTCATTAATATAAAAGTTAAAAATTCGGTTTTTAATTTAAATTTTTGTCTTGCCTGACAATAGATCCGTCCGCGTGTCCTGATATAAAACCGGTTCCATTGTTATTACTTACAATACTACACACATAGCTGTCAGTACTGTACAACGTCTGCGCTTTGTTTGTTTTGCAGTGCGCTGCTCGGACCTATAATATTTGTATTTCTATATATTTTTGATTAAGAAATAGTTGTACTGCATCTTTTAGGAGGAATTTAATCAAGCAGACTAAGATTGTGTAAATCTGTCTCAAAATCTGTGGTTCAAAGTGTATATTTAACAGTAAACATTGGAACCAGAAACCTATTGAACAAATGTCATCTTTTTTCTTCCATTTACTAAAAAAAATGTCGCAATGGATTTTGTAAAAGTTACAATATTTAGGATTTTTGTTAGAAAAAAGTCTGTTGAAAGTAACAGAAGCTTTCTTGACATTTCAAAATAAACAGCAATAAGAAGACGACAAGAATTCCATTTTTTTCTGGTTCTCACTATACCCCTAATTTACATGTGTTGACGGATACATTTAATGAGAATCATAGGACAAAGGAATTGAGTTTTTGCCACAAATCCCAATTTTATAATACCTATATCTCAACAACCAGATCATGCATACCTTTCATATTTCAAACTTACATTGTTTGATCCACCAGAGTTCATAGTTTGAAATATCTACGGTCTACGACATTTGGTTTTAAAGAAATTGTGTTTTAAAAATCCGAGTTTGTGGCAATGACTTAATTTCTTTGTTTTTTATCAATTCGACAACAAATCATACAACGTGAAATTTTACAGTTTTTTTCTACCAATAATATCTCTGGAATATACCCCACAAAATAGCAGTTGAGCAAGCTGCACTCAGTTCAACTACTTCTTTTTCATTCACAGATTTAGATTATCATAAAAAAGAGACTTTTTATGAGTTTATGTTGTGAACCTTAGATATGTCAAACTGTGAATTCTGATAGATCAAATATTCTAAGTTTAAAAATGTATAGGTTTACACCATTAGGTTGCAAAGAAATAAGGATTAGAAAAATTTGTTTATGGCTCAAAAGCTCAATTCCTTTCACTTAATATGATCTAAAAATTAAAAGAATTCAATTAAAAAATAATTAGAAAAAAGTTGTCAACAAATTAACGTTCTGTCATCTGTGCATTAATCTAAATATTTACATAAACAGACAGTCTAAAATGTACATCAATATTTTAGCAGTTATGTTTACGCAATTAATCATTTCTAATAACAATATTTCTTTTAATTTCGTAAATTGAGCATTTATTTATAATCCCTTTCGCTTATTAATGTTTAGCACATTTTTTCTTTTTTCCACATTTTTATGGATTCCGATTTTCTTTCTTATTAAAAAAACTTTAATTAACACTGACAAACAAAGTTAGAACTTACGATCGTGAGAATCAGATTTTAGTGGAATTCTTTTTCTTTGTGTTTTGAAATGATGTAAAAAATAGTTGCAGCTGAACTATATTTTAAAAAGTGTCTCCTATATTTAAGAGAAAAACATATTAGTTTGAACAATTTCAAATTAGAAAACTTGATAAAGGATAATCGATGTAACTTCCAGTGACTCTCCATTTAAATAGGGGTACACCGGATTCACAACGGTACCCTTTTATCCTTTATCTGATTGACATTTTGGAATATATCGTAGTTTCTATACATTAAAGAGTTTTATTACGACAATTTACTCTTTTGTCTCTAAAGCAGATATTCGTAAGTCATTTTATCGAGAGACCAGATTTGAAAGTAATCAATTTTTAGAGAGAAGGTAATGGATATCTCACTCGTAGTTATCCAGACAAAGCTTTTCATGGAACCAGATGTAAAAAGGCTAGTTTTCATACTAACCTTTCCATCTGCACACCCCAGCACAATAGGACCAGCTGACGGCCAGGCTATACAGGTCACTGCGCTCGTTTGTATGAACTTATTACAAATTACCTAAAAATAAAAGAAATATCCAATTTTTAACCCATAAAGGTTTATATCCCAATTTTTAGAGCCAGCTCATTGAAAAAATTGAACCAATAACTTTAATAGTTTGGGTGCTAGGGTGGGTTGGAAAAATGTCAAAAAAAGGGTAAAAAAATGTTAAAAAACATATGTTTTTTTTCAAAGATGTGACACATCCATTTTTAAATATAGTTTTTATAAGATCTGTAGCTTTAGTGACAAAAAAGCTATTTTAGATTTTTTTTACACAGACTTTTAAACGCTCTGTACCCTACCCCATGTATTAAAAAAATACACTAAAAATCCTTTAAATTTTTATTCATTAAAAGTTACAAATTTTCACGGTGATAGTGTCAAAAATGAGAGTGCTGGGGCAAAAAAACTAGAGGGGGCGCCAAACGCTCCCCCGCCCAGCCTGTTTAGGGTTAATTTGTTATAAACTTAAGTAGAATTCAACACTTTTGTGAAAATGTTTTTTACTTAATGTTGATAATGATAATAATAATACTAATAGGTATAGGACAACTTCACGTACGTACTTAATTGCTGATTAAAAATAATTAATGTTTTTTTTAAATAATATTTACCTTCTTCTCCCCAAAGTCGTCTCCAATTTTGTAAACGAAGACGATATTATCTGTCTGCGCTACAGCCAGCTTGTTAGAGTCAGGGCTAAAAGCCAAACCTAAATTAAAATTTAGAATCCAAGCTTTATACTTTTGTATTGTTTTTAACCATTTTTCGTGTAATTTTTTTCTTCTATATTTTAATATTTTTCCTTCTTCTCTCTCACTCCGTTTAATCCGTTGTTTAATTGTTCAAATTACATATATTACTCGTTCTGGAATTAATTTTTCTATTTGCTGTGACTAATGAAAAGTCATTTTGTAATTTTACTTTCTTATCCTTAATTGATAAGTACTACAGTGAGAACCAATAAACTTTGTAATATGAAGTCGACTTTTAGTCCAATGAACATGAGGCAATTGTGCAGTGTAAACAGACTCATTTCATTTAATAAGTGATTTATTAAGTGTTGTACAGTGAAACCCTTAATAACGAATACATCAGAATAATTTATCAAATGTCGTCTTGACAATTTTTCAATGAGTTTTATACTATATTACGTAAATTTCAGTATTTGCGAAAATAAATAAATAGCCATGAATATGCGGGAACAGTTTTAAAGAGTTCTATATAATCATTTAATTAAAAAACTAAATATCTGCAACATTCCATTATCAGAAAGTTAAGAATACGACATTTGATGAATTCTTTCGATGTATTCGTTATTAAGGGTTTCACTGTAGTATAACTATTTGCTGTGTAACACCATCAAATAGTACTTAGTATTGCTATAATGTCGTCTTCTTATTCCATTGTTTTCTGGTTATCACTGTACTTTTTCTTTCTGACACAAAAAGCAGAAAAATATAATCGCTAAACTCAGAAATTTATAGTTTGTAATCTGTTTGTAGTCTTTTTTGTATTTTAAAAATTACCTTTTACAATGTAACTTCTTTTCCCATATTTAGCATCAATAGGTTTAGTGCTGAATTTATCTCTCTTTTCCCCAGTATCATCAAATAGCATAATTACCCTAATACAAGATTCATCGAAATATAGGCTTACCTACAGTTCCTACAGTCGTCTTCGCATATATATCGCATATATATCGCATATATATCGTCCTTGTATATATATCGCATATATATCGTCCTTGCATATATCAAAACAATAAAGACGAATTTCGATTTCAATTTTGATTTCTATCAAACTTTATGGGAATCATGGATACCCATAAACATGCAAACGAAGAGAAGCTGTCAATTAAAAATGTTTCTTTTTAATTACTTGTAATTCAAAAAAAGCTTGTTAACACTGAAAACTGAATTAAAAAATCGTCTTCATTGTATTAGTATAATCGCCGACAATTGAGACTTCAATGACGATTGTAAACTTTTTAATTCTGCTAAAGGTGTTCAACCTTTAATTTAGTCTTCCGTAAGTGTGCGAACTTATTTGGCAAAGACGACCTTGTGGGTCATTATTGTGATTTATTTAGCAACAGAGTGTCCTGTCTTGCAGATATTTTTATTGACCCCGGTGAGACATTTGGCCGAAAATTTTTGACATTAAAGTGTGTTGAAAAAAAAACCAAACACTGCATGTTTTATTTTCTCTCACAGGCTTAATTATTGTCCGATCAAAAAGATATTGATATCAAAATGTTTCTAGGATGTCAGGACTAGATGGTTAAAAAATTATCGGATTTGGTCAACCCTGCTCTGAATAAAATCTCTTTATCTCTTGGGGATGGAACTAGTGTTTATGTACAGCTGTCTGCGGTACAGTTTATGTACCTATTAACTATACAGTTTATGTACCTATTAGCTATACAGTTTATGTACCTGTCATCATTACAGTTTATGTACCTTTTTTCAGTAAAGTTTATGTACCTATATATGCAGTACAGTTTATGTACCTGTCTGGAGTACAGTTTGTGTACCTGTCTGGAGTACAATTTATGTACCTGTCTGCAGTACAATTTATGTAACTGTCTGCAGTACAATTTATGTAACTGTCTGTTATACAGTTTTTGTACCTACATATGTAGTACAGTTTCTGTACCTGTCTGGAGTACAGTTTATGTACCTGTCTGTAGTACAATTTATGTACCTGTCTGTAGTACAATTTATATACCTGTCTGTAGTACAGTTTATGTACCTGTCTTTAGTACAGTTTATGTACCTGTCTGCAGTACAGACTGCTAGTTTCATGTTATTATTAGACCAGGCCATGGCTGTGATTTTAGCAGCTCCATCTTGAACCTCCTGGATATTCTTCAAATACCTCAACTGCATCCTAGATTAAAGGTAATAGTTTTGATGAATTATCATTGCTTGCTTGGGAACCCAGCGTTGCCCAGGTTACTCATAGTTACAATCGCCGTCTCCCTGCACTTGGTCGATTTAACTTTATAGTTGATCCACTTAACTTAGACTCTCTAACAAAATATTCCCAAAGTTCTACCAAGTTCTCCGACTAATTTTGAGGCAAATCGGTCAAGGGGTTTACGAGTTTCATGAGTTATGATCGGACATGCAAACAAGACAAACAGAGATTAAAACGTTAAACATAAATTTATCTACTATCATACAGTCGTCGTCGTATATATTAATACAATGAAGACGACTTTTTATTTTGATTTTCTACCAATCGTTCATGCACAGCGGAGACACACAAACATGTGATCTAGGTAAAGTGTTCATTAACATCTTCTCTTTGTTTACTTCTAAAATCTTAGAGATCAAAACATTATTAATAAAAAGTCGTCTTTATTGTATTGATGTATCGCCGACCACTGTATCATATCATATCAATTATAATAATACCCATTGAGATCTCAACCAATATTAACTTATTATGTACCGAACTAAAAATTATATTTATGTATCTTGCTTTATTTTGTTTTTGTTTTCATCATAATATTGTAAATACTGTTTTGTACGAAATAGATAATAATAAAAGATAGGAGTCACAAATACAGATCGTTATCCGCAAAGGATAACGACCGTTAAACTCGTTAGATGACAATTATTTAATTATTTATTTATTTATTTAATTAATTAATTATTTCCGTACAGTCGTCTTTGAAGTCTCATCCTGTATATAGTTGAAAAAGATTTAATCCTACTGACAACTGTTTGTCGCATTTAAACAAATTGTTTTATCATCTATAATTTTGAATTGTATAGTTTTTAAGCATTGCGATGTAATTTTTTATAGAATAATGAATTCCCAAACAAAAATACGGCTAAGAAGAAAAAAGTTATTTATAAATAAAATAGCCATTACACATAACTGAATATGTAACCCAAGATAACTGATGTAAATTTACAGCCTTGGATTTTAATAAAACAAATAATATATTTCATTTTTAACTTTAAATTATACATTTGTTATAGGTAGCGATGTAATTTTTATTTGTTACACTCACAAAACAATCAGAATAAAAATGGTCAATTTATGATTTGTGTAAATAGATGGATTACATTGAATATATAGAAGTACCTGATTTAGTTCTTACACTATAAATCTTTAATTCGTGACAGTTTTAAATATATGAATTTTTACACATTCTTACTTCTCTTTAGTTCCAAATATGGAATTCCAGAGAAAGCCAGGTAGAGAGATAGATAGATAAACACAAGGTAGAGTTGGAAAGCCAAGACAAATAATTTTGGAAAGCCCTGGTTTAGAAAACCTCCCTCCGTCCCCCCTATTTACCCTCCATTCTNGGATAGGACATTACTGGTACAACTTTGTGACCAATTATCCTCTCTATTTTCATTAAACACAAAGTAAAAGAAATATTTATCCAGCCGGTTACATATTGGGCATTCACACAATTACGTTTTTTTTTCAATAGCTCTCCAATTAAACGAAATTGAAACGAGTTCTGATTAAAAATATTTAAGATTTCAATTTTAATCATCAATTAATCGATCAACTTCAATCTTTTAGATGCATGTAATTAACAAAACTTCATTGCAACAAACAAAAAATATCACGACAGAATCCCAAAGTATAATTTTACAAGTGGGAAATATTGGAATACAGCAATACTATTAAAATAATTGTGATACAATATTGTATTTATCTTTTATAAAACAACTATTTAAAAAACCGGAGATGGAATTTAAAGAATTTGAGCCGCGGTTTAAATCTACCAAAACCATGTTTAAATTAAGCGCCGGCTTAAATCTTGAAACATTTGATACAATTTTAAGTGGAACCAACCATATTTAAGCCGCGGCTTAAATTTAAAACGCCGCTCAAATTCTTTAAATTCGGCCACTGATTGTTAAAAAACGTGAGTACGCTCTTAACTCTCTAGTTTACTTTCTTCCATGCCTTCTTGAGGAAACCTGGACCAAAAAATGACATTTGACACCTGAGTGCTAAAAGGGCCGGATGCGACTCAGAAGCCTGCAGTGAAGAGTTTTACACGCACTTTTTCTCAGGGTTTTTAGGGTTACAGTGGGGTCAATCATTCCATATTTGCCCTTTTAAAGGGACTGTAGACGTAATTTCAAGTGAACCTCCACCAATGAATATTGTCTTGTCCAATTCACAACGGTGCGCTTTTTCTGATCAATTATAAATATGATGTCCTGATTTTTCTGATTAAAAAAATGATTATTTTTTCTAAAAAAGTGACTTTCAGATTCACGCTGCTGCAACAATTATGGAAATTTACAGAATCCGTCAAATTGTAGATGGAAAACAATGTAGGTTTAGATGGTACCTCTGTGAATCCTTTAAAATGAAGGGTCACTTTAAATTACGTAGACAGTCCCTTTAAATGTGCCTGGTAGACAGTCCCTTTAAATGTGTCTGCTAGACAGTCCCTTTAAATGTGCCTGGTAGACGGTCCCTTTAAATGTACCTGCTGGACAGTCCCTTTAAATGTACCTGCTGGAAAATCCCTTTAAATGTGCCTGGTAGACAATCCCTCTAAGTGTGCCTGCTAGACAGTCCCTTTAAATGTACCTGCACAATAAAACTTCTTCCTCCTCCTCTGGCTCCCAAACCATGGTTTTTATCGTTTTGTTAAATTTATTCCTCTTTTTCTCCTTCTTACAGAGATTATTCGTTCTTGAGTTCTGTATTTTCTCTTGTCCTAGTCTTGTATTCTATATCTGTCCTTATCCTATTCTTGTCATGCATTCCACGTTATTCTTGTATCCTATATAATATTCTGTTGCTCTTATCATATTTTTGTTTCCTATATTTTCTCTTGTCCTAATCCTACTCTTGTATCCTGTATTTTCTCTTGACCTTCCTACTCTTGTATCCTGTATTTTCTCTTTTCCTTCCTACTCTTGTATCCTGTATTTTTTCTTGACCTTATATTACTCTTTTATCCTGTATTTTTTCTTGTCATTATTCTATTCTAGTATTCTATATTTCCTCTTGCCCTTCCTACTCTTGTATTCTGAATTTCCTCTTGTCCTTATCCTTCTCTGTATCCTGTTTTATTCTTTCTCTTGTATCCTGTATTTCCTCTTACTCTTATCCAACCATTGTATCTTGTATTTTCTCTTGTCATTATATTACCTTTGTATCCCGTATTTCCTCATGTCTTTATGCTACTCTTTTTCCCTGTATTTACTTGATTGTCCTTATCCTATTCTTGCCATGACTTCTGCTTTTTCTCTTGGCCTTATAGTCTATTCTTGTCTTATATCTCACATTTCTCTTGTTCTTTTTCTACTCTTGTTTCCGGTATTTCTCTTGTCTGTATCCTACTTCTGTTTCCTGAATATCCTAGTTTAGCAAATACCTACTCCATAACAATTTACTCGAGACGTATCTATCCAGGTTTACTCGTTTACCAAGATCAACCAGGACTTACTTCTCAGATTCCTCAGATTCTGAAGGCCACTCAGGCAATATCTCAATCAGGATTATCTCCCAGGCTCTGAAGGACACACAGTCCAAATCTCAACCAGGCTTAACTCCCCAGTTCTAAAGAACACACAGTCCAAATCTCAACCAGGCTTAACTCCCCGGTTCTAAAGGACATACAGGCCAAATCTCAACCAGGTTTGACTCCTCAGTTCTAAAGGACACACAGTCCAAATCTTAACCAGGCTTAACTCCCCAGTTCTAAAGGATACACAGTCCAAATCTCAACCAGGCTTAACTCCCCAGTTCTAAAGGACACACGGACATTGATACAGAAGCAATTTCTCAACGTATAATTCAACGAGTACCAAAGCTTTCTTTCAAGCTTACTTAGTCTTTTAATAACGTAATCAAATGCAGAGTCTCATTCAACTGTATTCAATGGCCTAGGTTAATTACAAAGTTAACAGGAATTGACATAATTTTATTCCTACGATGTTATTGATATCATATGATTAAGACCATCGTATTACGTATTCAAAGGATTAAAGAGAATAGATATAATGCAGTTAATCTATCTCTGTCCATATTTTACAGCATAGTATGTCGCATGATTTGAGCTAATCATTTTAATATTCGATTGAAACGCAGTTTCAATGAATAATCTCATTATTTCTAAGTTTAAAACATTAAATTGTTTATGACGTACAGCGTACTGCAAATTCTCAGAATAACATGTTTGCCCCCTTTTTGCTACACTATAGTTCTTATTCTGTTCTTCTATTATTTGTATCCTGTATTTCCCTTCCCTTACTATATTTCATGTACTTTTGTTTCAAATTCTAGCTGCGGAGATATTTTAAAATCCTGATAGTTTATTAGATTAACTACCATTGGCAATGCCAGGTCCCACACAACAATATTGCCTCAGTTCGTTTTACCGTTTCACGTTTATTGGAAATATACAAATTAATATAAATATGCGTATATAAACTGTAAACTAAAATTCCACGAATTCTATTGAGAATGACAATAAATACAAAGAAAAAGTAGGAAAGGAATTTTGATGTGACATCAGGCCTCTATTGCTTCTGAATACTATTTGATTTCACTTTTAATTGGAATGTTCTTCCCCCCCCACATCCTATAGGTATAGGTAGACACACGTAGTTTATGGTTTAATCTTTGATTGAGACTAGAATGGTCTAGTGTATAGATAGAGTTCACAGTAAAGTATGCACCGTGAAATTATAAATTCCAATACATTTTCTAAAGCAGAACGCCAAAATTGTATGTCTGTATGTATGTTTGTTCCTTATAACCTCGTGAAATTTTTATCGAAAATTACTAGCACGAATTTGTGACCTCGTAGCTCCTCTTGTCTCGATTTTAACTCTAATTTATTTGGTTACTTATAAGAAATTCAAAACATTTAAAACATTGAATCAAATTTTGCACCCTGCAGCCCTGTACAGTTAGACCCATAAAACTGTGGAAAAGGAAGAATATATTTAAGCAATCTTGTGTGTATATGATGTTCTTAGAAAGAAAATAGTTGTAACGGTTCAAAATCAACTTTTGAAGTAAAATAGATGTGAGTTGAATTAATTATTCAAAACTATAACTTGAGTCTAGAATAAGGCGTGATGAGGGTTGGGAGTCATTAATATAATTTTACGGTGGTTGTAGCGTAGCCCACCCTGGGTTCTTTTTTATTTACACCCTTTCCCCTCTCCTCCTGAGCGGAAAATACGAAATCGTTTTTATGATTACAATAAATAAATGTATTTTCTTTCCTGATTTTCACTCATTTGTTAACCTGGAAAGAGTATGGAGGGAAGATATCACAGAAAGTCTACTTCCATTTTCAAATATGGTAGAGTGAGACTAAAAAACTGTGGAATAGAGAGACAACATATTAAGCAATTGTGTTTGATGTAATTATAGAGCAAATGATTAATTATAACTTGAGTCTAATAAAAGTCATTGTCATCGCCCATTTCACAATTTTATGGGTCTCACTGTACTTTTTAAATTACAAATTACAAAGGCTTTTACGATGTAAATCTTCATCCATGGTTCTCTTGTTTTTTCTTTAACTATGGAATTCAATTTAAAATAAAAGTTGCTTTTTGTTTTCATTATTTCAATTCTTTATGATTGACAGTTGAATGATGACGACATGTACAGTAAAACTAAAATATTCCAATTAGCAGGAAATCATGTTTTTACTCGGTCAGTGTGCCAGGGGGGGGGGCAAAGTATCAATATATCCAGGTTTACCAGGGGGGGCAGAGTATCAATATATCCAGGTTTACCAAAGAGGGGGGGGGTACAAAGGGTATCTATATATACAGGTTTACCAGGGTACAGAGAGTATCAATTTATTCAGGTTTACCAAGGTACAGAGAGTAGATGCGCCCCATGTGTGTGTGAGTTCTACATCAATTAGTATCTCATTATTAAAAGAAAATGTTTTTCTCGTCGTATAATGTGGAGAAACCCAACCACAAGTCTACAAGGCGCCAGGGATAAATAAAACTTTTTGCAAATTTTTTTTTCAATATTGTATTTTATTTGATCTTTGATTAAGGATATCTAAGACTTTTCTCAGATTTCCCTCCAAGTAATTCAATTTTGCGGTAGACAAGAATTGCCCTGTAGGGTGAATAAACTCTGCGCGGCCTTCCAACGTCCTTGCACGTAACTGGACTTTGATTCACTTCCGGGGAAACCATTAGCGTGGCCCAGATATTTGC